GCACTGGTTGCTAATTTGCTTCCAAGTCTCATTCAGGATTACATCGGCATATAGAGGCCTAGAAAACTTGGGTCCAAAATACCGATGGGGCACCTCCTTCCTTGCAGGCAAGCTCTGGTGTTGAAGTCAGCTAGAGATGCTTTGCTGATATTGCCACCACACATTGAGGTCTGCAGAATTATGGTATGCAGGAAGGAGCGTCTCCAACCCCATCATTCTACCCGGACACTGAGGTCCAGCACCGAGGGCCTTCTGGCGGTTCCCTCACTGCGAGAAGCCAAGTTACAGGGAACCAGGCAGAGGGCCTTCTCGGTAGTGGCGCCTTCCCTGTGGAACACCCTCCCACCAGATGTCAAAGAGAACAACAACTACCAGGCTTTTAGAAGACATCTGAAGGCAGCCCTGTTTCGGGAAGCTTTTAATGTTTGATGTATTATACTATTTTAATATTCTTTTGGACGCCGCCCAGAATGGCTGGGGAAGCCCAGCCAGATGGGCGGGGTATAAATAATAAATTATTATTATTATTATTATTATTGAATAATCTAGGGTCTTTTAAACTGGGGGAGGGGTGATTGTTTGTTACTATGGTGTATATTTGTGTGTTTTTATATTGTAAACTGCTCTGTGATCCTCGGACGAAGGGCACTAAAGAAATTTAGTAAACAAACAAAGCAGCAGGGCCTTATCTGGTGTAGCTCCCAGGCTATGAAATACCCCACCACCACCACAGGGCCCTTCTGTGTTTTAGCTTCTGTGCAATTGTTTAAGACTAGGGGTGGACAAATCGATCAACTTTTGTTTCTCAATTTCCTTTTGTTTCTCCATTTTACCCCCACATCAGTTTTCTTGCCTGGAGAACTGAACTGCAAAATTCAGAGGTGCAAATTTCAAAGGACGGCTGTGTTTCAGTTGGTTTACTGCTTCAGAAAATGGGAATTACAGGAGGTCTTTTTAATGTGAACTGAAAAAACTCCCACCCCCAACCCCTAGACACCTTTTTGCCCAGATCTTTTTGCCCAGATCTTTGCAGATCTTTGAACAACACACAGCTTCCCTTTCGTAGTATTGCAATCATTGGCTGTTGTTTTAACTGATATTTTAATGTATTTTCTGTTACTTTGATAGGTATAAACCCTACCCTTAGCTTTGTGGGTGCACCACTCCATGCTGTAGAACATTATTCCAGCAGAGATTTAACAGACATTCTCGCTTTTCACTCCCAGGTATCCCTAGATAACTCTTTCATGCCAGGAGGCTGATGTAGTTGTTCACAATTTTGTTGAGTAGGCAGCCATTTTAATGACTGTCCTGCATCGCTTTTAAATTGCCTTTTTTCCTAAGTGTTTGACTATCATTGCACACGCCACCTTGATATTTTATGAATGGGTGGTTTATATAAATACCTTTTATAATAAATAAATTCATGGCTAAGGGACTGAAGTCTTCCCCCTCAAAACCCACTGGGATGTGCATGTAAGAATAGCCTACTGAATCAGGCTGGTGACCCAGCCTAAGTTGGTTATCTTGTTTTCAGTGTCACAAACCAGATTCCTAGAAGCCCACATGCAGGACTTGAGCACAGCAGCACCACTCGCCCCGCCTGCGGTTTCCAGCAGCCGTTATTCCGAAACACAGTGCCTCCGACCTCGCAAGCAGAAAATAGCCATTGCGGCTAGTAGCCGCCATTGATAGCCTCTATGAATTTGTCCAGTTCTCTTTAGAAGCCGTCCGAGTTGGTGGCCCTCGCTGCCTTTTGGGGGGCATGAATTGCACAGTTTAATGATGTGCCGTGCGAAGAAGTACAGTGGTACCTCGGGTTAAGAACTTAATTCGTTCTGGAGGTCCGTTCTTAACCTGAAACTGTTCTTAACCTGAGGTACCACTTTAGCTAATGGGGCCTCCTGCTGCCGCCGCACGATTTCTGTTCTCATCCTGAAGCAAAGTTCTTAACCTGAGGTACTATTTCTGGGTTAGCGGAGTCTGTAACCTGAAGCGTCTGTAACCCGAGGTACCACTGTACAGTGGTGCCCCGCAAGACGAATGCCTCGCAAGACGGAAAACCCGCTAGACGAAAGGGTTTTCCGTTTTGGAGGTGCTTCGCAAAACGAATTTCCTATGGGCTTGCTTCGCAAGACGAAAATGTCTTGCGAGTTCCTGCAGGGTTTTTTTCCTCCCCCCCTTTTTCCCAAGCCGCTAAGCCGCTTATCAGCTGATCCGCTAAGCCGCTAAACAGCTGATCCGCTAAGCCGCTAAGCCGCTTAACAGCTGATCGCTAAGCCGCTTATCAGCTGATCCGCTAAGCCGCTTATCAGCTGATCCGCTAAGCCTGCTAAGCCGCTAATAGTGCTAAGCCGCTAAGCCGCTAATGGGCTTGCTTCGCAAGACGAAAAAACCGCAAGACAAAGAGACTCTTGGAACGGATTCTTTTCGTCTTGCGAGGCACCACTTTGTCTGGAATCTTACAGAATTCAGCTTCACTGGATGTGACTGCAGAACGCCCCCCAAGGACAGGCTCAAGCACCCCTCTCAAGACTCCGAACCTGAGTCCACCTCCCACACAAGCCACGCCACACAAACTGCTTGCACCCAGGTGACTGAGGGCGTGAGCAGGGCACAACGCGAAATATACGAGTTGGGCCTGCTGCCTGCCTCGAGAGCATCTGCTCCACTCCGTGTTTTGCGGGCTGTGAAGAAAAGAGGTGCAATGCACAGGCCTGCAGGAGGTGTGTGTGTGTGCGCCGATTCTTTGAAGGTGGGTGGCATGCCTGAATTAGACCTCCGCTACGGACAGCCCCATCGTTAGGGCTGTAATTGCAAGCAGGTGACCATAGAGCTTTCATGTATTTTCATTAGCCTCCCAGACCCGGAAAAGCTGGCGTTGTCCCCGCACGGGACTCTGTGGGTTTGAATGCACCTTCCATCTGGAGCCCAGGCACACAAGGCTAATTCACCAGGTCACAGGAAGTTTCCTTCGACTGATGCAAAAGGCCTAAGATGTGTTGATGCCTAAACTAGCACTTAACGGATAAACCCTCTCCTCCAACAGGAAGCTGCCTTACCCCAAGTTGGATCAGTGCTATGTCAGCCGGAGTATTGTCTACATCACTTGTGGTGGTAGATCTCTGGCCCAGGGGCCAAATGTGACCTTCCACATCTCTCTGGCCATGCTCCCTGCCACCTCTGCTTTGCACCCTGCCTCGCATCTAGCCTTGCTGGACTTTTTTCTTTGAACTCCAACAGTGCCTCATGTTTGGTTTGAATATGTGTTTTTTTGTGTGTGAACTAACTTACTTTCTAAAGGCAAAATTTACATTTGTTGCCCCACCCACTTTTGTCTCTGGCTCCGCCCACACTAGCATGTGGAACCCCTACCCACTGCCAAGGTGGTTGCCTAGAAGGGAAAGCTGAAAAATTTCCTTGCCCTGCTTTAAAATATAATCTGAAGCCTTATAGTACAGTGGACACTTGGGTTGCGAACGTGATCCGTGTGGGAGGCACGGTTGCAACCCGCAGTGCCGCATCTGCATATGTGTGGGTTGCAATTCGGCGCTTCTAAGCATGCGCAAAGAACGATTTAGTGCTTCTGTGCATGTGCGAGCGTCGAAACCCGGAAGTAACCCATTCCGGTACTTCCAGGTTTAGGCGTGTCCGTAACCCGAAAAAACGCAACCTGAAGCGTCTGTAACCCGAGGTATGACTGTATAATATATACGCTCCTTGGGGTGTCAATCACACTGTGCTCAACTCATTTCCAAGTCAGCATGCACAAGATCGCAGCCGTACGAGATTGCAGTTGTACAGATCACTGCTCTTTGCCTGGTATGTCGGGACCTGCTAGTGGGTTATGGCCTGATCTAAGCTGGGTTGCAATAGGAGCACGACCGGCCTGCAAATGTAAGATTAAGAAATAGGGCTCCAAATGCTTGGTGGGTTAAAAGTGGGTCCTGAGTCTGAAGAGGCTGATACCTTTTAACTCAGAACCCAGAGTTTTCAGTAGCACTTTCTGCCCGGTAAGCGTGCAGAGGATTGCCGTTGGTTTCTAGTAGGAGCATTGTGCAGCACCCAGAAAACTGCCCTTGCGGCTTGCTTTGTAGCCACTTTGAAGGTGTACATGTAAGGTGTACTCTCACTCCCAATGACAACAGTTAGAAGGGTATAGCTGCTCCCACTGGGCCACAAACAGAGTGATACATCAACTCCTATATGGGGAAAGGTTACAAGACATGGAGCTTCCTAGTCGACATGGTAGGGACGCAGGTGGCGCTGTGGGTTAAACCACAAAGCCTAGGACTTGCCGATCAGAAGCTTGGCGGTTCGAATCACCATGGCAGGGTGAGCTCCCGTTGCTCGGTCCCTGCTCCTGCCAACCTAGCAGTTCGAAAGCATGTCAAAGTGCAAGTAGATAAATAGGTACCGCTCTGGCGGAAGATAAACAGCGTTCCCATGCGCTGCCCTGGTTCACCAGAAGCGGCTTAGTCATGCTGGCCACATGACCCGGAAGCTGTATGCCGGCTCCCTCGGCCAATAAAGCGAGATAAGCGCTGCAACCCCAGAGTCGGTCACGACTGGACCTAATGGTCAGGGGTCCCTTTACCTTTACCTTTACCTAGTCGACATGGTAAGAGGTGTGTTAAGATGTAGAGGAAGCAGACAGAAAAGGTTTTCTGTTTCTCTCGTGAGAACTTGGGGACGTCCAATGAAGCTGAACATTGGAAGACCCAGGACCAAAACTTTCTGTAAGAGGCAGTGATGGCCACCAAGCAAGACGGCTTTAAGAGAGACAAATTCACGGAGGATGAAGCTACCAGAGTCTACTAGCCACATCTCCACTGTTGGAAGAGAGCTGTTGAGTTCAGGTCCTGATTGCAAGCTTCTTAGAGGCCTCTGGCTGGCCACTGAGAGAACAGGACGGTGGACTAGATGGGCCCTTGGCCTGCCCCAGCAGGTCCTTCTTATGTTCCCTTCGTTCCAGGAGACAGAAAAAGACCACCGACGGGTCCCGTGCCATTTTTAATAATAAAAAATCGCAGTAACAAAAGGGCAATTGATACAAAAGAGAGGCTTTGGATATGGCACGGATCTCAAATATGCCAGCTTTTCTTTTTCTCCTTTGGTTCCACGGCATCATGTTCCCCTGTTCCCTTCCGTCAGTTATTATTCTTATTTTCTTTTCTTTTTTTAAAAAAGTGTGAAGCTTGGTGATCAGCTTGACTGGCGTTCGGCAAGAGAGTTCTCTTTTGTTTCTGGAGCACATCCCGTTTCAGCTTCATTTATTCCTCCCGCTGTGAACAAGGGGAGCGGGCAACAAAACCAACTGCCTCCGGCAAGGCTCTCCCTGTTGCCTCGATGGTTTCCTCCGGTCACGTGGGTCTCCGTCAAAATTCTTTAAAGCTGCAAGGGCAAAGAGAGGCATTAGAAATGTCATCCTGGTGGACACCCCAATGCAGGTGGGGGGGGGATACCTTTTCAAGGGCCAGCAGATTTAAAGGAAGAGCGATAGAGACAGATTTTTCAGAAGGCTTCCAAGCTAAAGCAGTTCCTGTTGCATCCTCTCTGGCTTGGGCAAAGTCCCTGGGTGAGTTGAATGCCTTGTGAGTTGAACGTTTTGGCTCCCAAACGCCGCAAACCTGGAAGTGAGTGTTCTGGTTTGCGAACGTTCTTTGAAACCCAAACATCTGACGTGGCTTCCGATAGGCTGCAGGAGCTTCCTGCAGCCAATCGGAAGCTGCGCCTTGGTTTCCGAACGCTTTGGAAGTCAAACGGACTTCCGAGGTACCACTGTATTTTGTTTTAATCTTATTGTTTCGTTTTGGTTGTAGGCTGCATATATTTCCACCCTGGTGCCTTTGGGTGGATGAGAAATGCTTTTAGATAAATAATTTATAAAATGATCATTATAGATCACATACATCAAGCTTCTGCAAGTTGTGATCCTTACATAGCCCAAATGTCACAGAATGCATAAAAATTGGGGGGGGGGGATGGACTGCAGCATTTCAAGTAGTAAAAAAAAAATGTAACCAACCCCACTTGAAGCAGGGGGTAGGGTGGGGCACCGAAAAAATGGCCCAATAGGAATTGAGCATCCTCATTGGATACAGGATGCTAAATACCTGGTGTGCGTATGTCTAATACAGATCTGGAGGCTAGTGGTGAAATGGGAAAGGGCATGGCTGGCAGAAGAACAGGTGCTCCGCACACTGCAACAATTTGTTGCAGCTCATAATAATAGTAGTAGCAATAATAATAATAATAATAATAATAATAATAATAATAATAATATGACCTAGACCAGTGGTTCCCAATTAGCTAATTACTGAGGACCCCCTATTTTTCAAAAGCCAAACCACAGACCCCCTACTTTTGACAATTTTGATTACTCTGCAGCAGTTACCTCTACAAAGTACTTTTTTCGAACAAAATGTGGGTAGCCCCTAATAAGCAAAGGATTTTAGGTATACTAAAAACAGACCATAAAATTTGTGATATTAGCCTGCAAAAAAATTGACAAAAATTTAGTTGGGGGGAGGCAAGGGATGGGACTGCAGACCCCCCTGGGTGCGTTCCATGGATGCCCAGAGGTTCCTGGACCCCTAATTGGAAGCCACTGACCTAGACAGAAAGTTACCCTTAAGGACAGGCATCTATTGTGCATTTATGCCATTTGATGCCATATACCAGTCTGTATTTCCCATGTGCCAGTCTGTATTTAATCAGGATTTACATTTTCCATGCTAAGTTTTTTTAGATAAAAAAATAAGAAACACCTGTTGCCAGTGTCCTGTGTGCGAGATCTGAATTTGCATTCTGGAAGCACCCTCTGGATGAAAACTGGATTTAAATGCCCATCCACCAAGTTCATATTGCAATATGAACCTATTTCCGTTCTTTCTGACCAAAGCTGGATGTCACCCAGCAGCAGATGGCTGCTCACAGTCGTATTGCTGCTGGAGGGGCGAGAAGGGCAGCTAGGTGCAAATGCATCAGCAGATAATCTTCAGTGGCGCATTTGCACTGCAATGACTTTGCTGCTGGTAAACATAAGTGCTGCAACCGACTGGAGGTCAAAGAAGGAGTGTTGCCCCACCAGGTTGCCCATTCCTGATGTCCCCAACTGCACCCCTTGCTCTAAGCCCATTCCTTCGTTTCAGGTTTAGAATTCAAGAGGAAGCAGAAGAAAAATCAGTCAAGAAGTTGGGAATAGAGGATCTTCAGAGGTGACCACAGAAATGCAGAAGAAAGAAGTGTGAAAACCCGTGGAAACTCAGTGGATTGCTTAGGGCTCTCTTGGCTCCTTCTAAGTTCCCATGAACACCAGTTCCACCACCAGAGTACAACAGCCTCGCTTATTCCAACAGAGGTGGCAGAAGGCCAAGGAAGGAGTGATGAAACCTTTGACCATGAGGTCCCAACGAGAGCAGAAAGCAGGAGATGACCTACTAAGTAACACCAGGGGCTTGAGAAGTAGACTTACCATGACTTATGGCCCCAGAACATGCCTACTCAAGAGTGATGTCTGACCTGTGAACACAATCGATATATAGTGGTACCAGGGTTCTTGGGAGAGTAGGTGGGAGATGAAGAGCATGCTTCATTACGCAACATGGCTTCATACTTTAAAACAGTGGTCATCAGGGACTAGCTAGATGTTCCAAGGGACATTTAGCATCTCCCCTGGGGATCTCCCCAGCCATGTGGCACATGAGCTTACCAACTGAAGCCCTGATCTGGGTGCGCCTGCCTCTGTTAGTCACATGGCCACCAGAAATAGGGCCTTTGTTGTAGTGGCTCCTGGTTATGGAATACCTTTAAGCCAGAAAGTGGGCCTTTGCTGTGGTGGCACCCCATTTATGGAGCACTCTCCCCAGATGCTTTCACCTGGTGCTTAGAGTGGTACCTCTGGTTATGAACTTAATTCATTCCAGAGGTCTGTTCTTAACCAGAAACCGTTCTTAACATGAGGTACCACTTTAGCTAATGGTGCCTCCTGCTGCTGCCACACCACCGGCGCGCAATTTCTGTTCTCATCCTGAAGCAAAGTTCTTAACCCGAGGTACTAGTTCCGGGTTAGCGGAGTCTGTAACCTAATGTGTTTGTAACCTGAGGTACCACTGTATTGCTCTATCTTTAGGCACTGGCTTAAATCTTCCCCATTTTTACTAAGCATTTTCCTATAACATGGGAATTGTTCTCTTTTTAATGGTTGCCTAATGGTTGCCTAATTAGGCTGCCTAATTTTCTTTCACTTATAAGGTATGCTTTTGTTTGTTTCAAAATCTATTTTTTATATTTTATCCTGGTTTGGTTTTAACATTCAAACACAAGTCCCCTTCAAATGTTGGAACTTCAGGGTAGGAATTGTTTGGAAATGTTTTGGCAGCAGGCTGGTCACTCCCTAGAGGGGGAGTCCAATGTTAATCCTACTCAGAGTAAACTTACCAAATGAAGAGACATGACTCAGGAGACTTATGGCCACATTCACACCATATATTTAAAGCAGTATCATGCCACTTTTTAACAGAGCTGGCTTTCTCCAGAGAAGCTTGGGAACTGAGGCTTCTTAAGGGAGCTGTTGGAGATCCCTCTTCCCCTGCCAAAATGATAATTCCCAGAGCTGTTTAATAATCCATCCCTCTTCACAAGGAACTTTGGGAATTGTGGCTCCATGAGGGGAATAATACTAATACTAATAATAATTTATTATTTATATCCCTGCCCATCTGGCTGGGTTTCCCCAGCCACTCTGGGCGGCTTCCATCAAAATATTAAAATACAATAATTCATCAAACATTGAAAACTTCCCTGAACCTTCAGATGTCTTCTAAAAGTCAGATAGTTCTTTATTTCCTTGACATCTGATAGGAGGGTGTTCCACAGGGAGGGCGCCACTAGCAAGAAGGCCCTCTGCCTGGCTCCCTGTAACCTCACTTCTCACAGGGAGGGAACTGCCAGAAGGCCCTCGGAGCTGGTCCTCAGTGTCTGGGCTGAACGATGGGGATGGAGACGCTCCTTCAGGTATACTGGGCCGAGGCTGTATAGGGCTTGAAAGGTCAGCACCAACACTTTGAATTGTGCCTGGGGTTTCCTAACCCCACTCAACACCCTTGACAAACTACAGCTCACATAATTCATTTAAAGTGGTTTCACAGTGTTTTAAATGTATGCTGTGAATGTGGCCTATGTCTCCCACGACGGCTGTCTGTGCCTCATTTTGGGGAGCTCATCTTTGAGAACCACTGCTTTAAAATACGGCCGTTCTTCTTTCTCAATCACGCTCATCCCCAAATCAAAACTCTTGGTGATTTGTTAACAAGGTACAAACGGTTATGGGAGTGTTGACAAATTGTGAAGACCAAGGCAATTATGTGGCTGCGCCGATGATTTCCTAGACATGATAGCCAAAATATGATTTCCCCCCCAACTTGAAATTCATTTCGATTATAGCATTCAGGGGCATTAGTCAAGAAGTCAAGAGGGGGCATCTGTGGGTCCCATGGCATGACAATGGCTTGCAGAAACAGGCACCAAATGTTTCAGTTTGATATTGGCTCTGCAGTCTTAAATCTGAATATTCATTTTAAAAATAGCACATATGGAAATGGCCAAATTATTGGAGGGAAATGCTCCATAGAACATAAGTTGAGCCCTGTGAGGATCTCCTCACAGTGGCTGACCAGATGCCTATGGGAAACCTATAAGTAGGACCTGAGTGCAACAACACTCTCCCATCTGGAAGTTTTCCAGAAAATGGTCTTCAGAAGCACACTGCCTCTGACCATGAAGGCAAAGCGTAGCCATCATGGCTGATATCTCTGTTATTTCAGTGCTGTTTGGGACTCTGTTAGAACACTGTCCCTTTCTTGGCCATAAGCAAACTAAGATGATCCATGTTGGATCATAGCAAAATTCTATCTAGCTTAGCATCCTGCTTCCAACCAGATATTTCTGGGAAACCTACAAGCAGGGCATGAGGGCGGTGGCATTCTGCCACTGTTAGGTTCCACAGCAACTGGTACAGTCAAACCTCGGTTGTCGAACGTCATCCGTTCTGGAAGCCCATTTGGCTTCCAAAATGTTTGACAACTGAGGCGCAGCTTCCAGTTGATTGCAGGAGCTTCCTGCCCTCAAGCGGAAGCCGCATTGGACATTCAGGTTCCGAAAAACGTTCAAAAACCGGAGCATTTACTTCTGGGTTTTCGGTGTTTGGGAACCGAAACATTCCAAAACGGAGGCGTTCAGGATCCGAGGTTTGACTGTATTCAGATGCATGCAGTCTCCAATGATGAAGGCAGCCTATGGCCACCACAACTAGGACAGCCTTCAGATCCATGAATTCATCTAATCTCCCTTTAACGCCATCCATGTTGATGGCCACCATCATTGTGGTAGTGAACTTTCCAGTTTAACTATGAGCTGTGCGAAAAAGTACTTTATTTGATCGGGCCGGGATCTCTACCACAGCCTCGTTGGGATGGTTCTAGGTCATACAACTTGTTCATCTTTCCCACCCTGATCTACGTGTTCGAATCCCGCTTGATCCAGTTGAGATGATCGTGTTCAACCCAAGTTATAACTGGGTTTCTGCTCCAGAAAGCTAGGACAATGCAGGTGAATTCGCCGTCCTAGACGCATCACACCTTTGCTCTATTTGGGTGAACTTAAATCTCAAAGATAGGTCACAGAAACTGTGTGTTTTGCTACTGTGTTTTTGCCTCACAGATGCCCCGGGGGGGGGGGGGGAGAGGGAAATCAAGAGAAAAATCATACCCTGAAATTTGCACACGCACCCTGCTCCACTAGATGGGAAGAGAGAACCAATGGGCATACTCACACTGCAAACTATTTCATATCCAACACTACTGGTTCTGTTAATGCCACACAAGAGCTAGGAAGGCACATGGGGGAGAAGGTTGCTGTTAGTATTGGTTAAGGATTGGTGGGCATGTTGGGAGTGGTGGTGGTAGAGAAATTGGGGTTCATTCTATCATGACCAGAGCTCCACTCGACTCTTTGCAGGAGAAGTCAGTTAGAAGGGGCAATGCCACGCACTGAGGTCTCCGGGCAGTGACATCGCTGGTGCTTCCCAGGAGGGAAAGGGGCATCAGTGGAAGTGCTGGATGGGCTCTGCCCATGTGCCCAAACAGTGCCAACTTTCCTGCTGCTCCAGCAACATCACTGCAGGGAGGCCAAGTGTGTGGCAGCACCGCTCCTGGTTCTTTGGGAGCCTGGTTCACAAGTGTCCCTTTAGGTATGACCGGAGGTTGATGACTTTAGGTATGACTTTCATAGTGGAGTTTGATGCTTGTATCTTGGCACGATAAGTCAAGTTATTGAACCAGCCTTTCGGTCAGGCAAAGGGATAGCAGGAAACAAACCACAAAGTCTTTCATTACCTAAAGTTTCCCATCTCGTCTGAAACTGGGGAACTATGGTGAACGCCTTCCAAACAAGCCAGGATATTAAGCTAACCTCAAATCATGGTTTAACATCCTGGGGCTGTTGTTGTTGTTTAATCGTGTCCAACTCTTCATGACCCATGGACCAGAGCACGCCAGGCACTCCTGTCTTCCACTGCCTCCTGCAGTTTGGTCAAACTCATGCCACCAGCATGAGAACATCCTGGGGCAGGCATGTCCAAAGTCTGCCTCGGTGGCCTAATCCGGCCCGCGGGTCAGTTTAATCCGGCCCCTGTGGCAGTTTATTTCCTTGGGTAAAATCCTAAAAAACCCTCAACAACTTCAATCCTAAAAAAAGGATAACAACTTTGGTTGGCCCTTCGGTAGGCCCTCACGGCCCTTCACTTCATCACATCTGGCCCTCTTTGAAAAAAGTTTGGACACCGCTGTCCTGCCCCCCCAAAGCAGCTAACCACAGCTTGGTTCGGATGATCCAGAAAACTACAGTGAAATAGGTGGCTTTCTCTTTGCTCTTGCAAAGGGAAGAGCCACTGGGTTGTTTGCGTGTGCAGGCAAAAGCCTTTTTTCTTTCTTGGCTTTTTAAGAGGAGATACCATGGTCTGAGCATGGTCAGAACATCTGCAGTCCAGAGGATCCCTGGCTCAGGGCTTCACCTGTGGTCTTCCCTAGCAGAAACTCCACTGCTTAATTCCGGTGTTAAGTTCCAAGAGCACTTGGGTTGTGGAACATTTGTTGGGGGTGGCTAACTGGGAAAAGTTCTGAGAAATCAGTGTGTTTCAAGCTATAATCCTTTGCATGCTTATCTGGGAGTAAACCCCACTGAGGATAGCAGGACTTTTCTATGTACCAGACACATACAGATCAACTGAAGATGGGAAGTAATCAATCTCATAGCGGGGTGATCTGCAGTGCTGTTACAGATCTGTTACAGTGCTGGATCCACAACCGCAGCTCTGTATCTACCTTAAATTTATTTTCTTTTTGCTGCCACCAGAATTTTTGTGTGTGTGAGGCCAGATCTGGGCCGCAAACTAGGGGTTAGCCATTCCTGAAGTAAAACATGTGTAAGATGGTTAAGTGCTCTTTTGAGAAGGAGAATTCTGAGAATGCTTTCAGTCTGTTCATGACTGCCCCATGAGCTGCTGGCGCATGTCAAAAACGCCCTGTCAAACATGTCTGATAAAAGCCCCACCAAGAATTGAGCATCGCTATCCTGGATTTTCCAAGCATGCTCCAAATATGCAGGTAAATCTGACCGCACGTCATCCAATTCCAGCGTAGCAGGTCTCAGTAGAACATTTCAGAACAGAACACCGCCATCTTGTTTCGCTTTGTGCACACTCAACTGGCCCAAGATGGCAGCATGTATTGGCAGGGGAATTCAACAGGGCTTCACTGACAGGCTGGTAAAACTTAAAATTCAAGGGAATCTGGGGGTGGAAATTTTTAAAGCACCAGTGAACCACAGGTCCCTGGAATCATACATTCCAAAATATTCAGCCTCTGCAAACACCTACCCTCGTTTTCTTCCGCAGGAGCCGCACCACCCTCGTATTTCTTTGAACACCACACGTGAAAGGAACTGGAAGGGGAAGATATACTCAGAGTTAATGATGGCAGTGGCTGTTTGGTGCATGCAGATATCCCACCCAGTGTTTGTCCAAGACGCTGCAATGATGTTGCTGTGCTAAAGGCACCAGAAGCTGCCTTACACCTATTCAGACCCATTGGTCAATCCCACTCAAGCTTTCATCTGCTGCATGAGAGGACTGCTCCCACTTGCCCCACCAAGCCACAGTTGCTGTCCATACCCATTGTCTTATTCTGAGTCAGCTCAATGGTCACTAACACCAGGCATCCCCAAACTCGGCCCTCCAGATGTTTTGGGACTACAATTCCCATCATCCCTGACCACTGGTCCTGTTAGCTAGGGATGATGGGAGTTGTAGTCCCAAAACATCTGGAGGGCCGAGTTTGGGGATGCCTGGTCTACACAGACTGGCAGCAGCTCTCCGGAGTTTCAGATGGGTGTCTTTCCAAGCCCCAACTGGAGATGACAAGGATTGAGCCTGGTACCTTCTGCAAAGCTCTACCACTGAGCTACGATCCTTCTTCAAAATTATACACAGACAAATGCAGTTGGAAAGGAAAGACCCCATGATTTTCATATAGAGCTGCTATTTCTCCATTGGTCTACCTAGACCAGTACTGTCAGCTCTTTGACAGACAGCAGCTTTCCATAATCTCATTTGTGGTTCTTTCTCAGGTCGCTGTACTGAGATCCTTTTGACTGGAGATGATGGGGAATGCAATCTGGGACCTCCTGCAAGCAAATCGTCTGCTCTACCACTGAGCTGCAGGTGGTTCCCAACTTAGGTCAGGATTGGTGTAGCAATATCAGCTGTTCTCAAGGGTTTACCCAACTGAGGTTTAATTGGTAGGATTCACCCATTAGCTAATGGCAGGGATGGAGACCTCTGGACATTATTCATCTCCATTCTCATCAACACCAGCTTGAATGGCCAACCATCAGGGATGAGGGGACTTACAGGTCCCCAAAAAGTCCTACTCAGATGAGACCCCTTGAAATTAATGGACCTAAGTTAGTTGTGGCACAGGACAACTCTTGAGTAGGATTGGCACTGGATATAACCCATAGTCAATCAACATCTGGAGGGCCACCAGTTCCTGATCCCTTAGCTCACCATATCAAAAGACTGTGCAGACAGGGGCAGTAAGGCGACATGGATGTCTCACAGAATGGTTGGGTTAAAAGAGGAATTGATGTTGAATGCTCTGCAAAAGGAAACTCACTAGGCAAGCCAGGAGATCGGCGGCCATCAACATGTAGAAGACATTGTCCCAGCCGGTGCGAGAGATCACACCTGCCAGCAGGGGTCCAAGGGCAGCACCTGCAAAATGAAAAAAGAGTGATGCAAAGGATCAGCAAGCAGCCAAGAGCGAAGCCCAGCTCATGGCAATAAGGCAGGTTCCTTCTAGCACAGATGGCACAGAAAACCTATGTAGCAAATCCTACATGGTGGTGGTGGAAGAAGACTCAGGAAGTTAGAGATTACCAGCGTGTATTCACAGTTAAGAACAAAAGACCTGCTGTGCTGGAACACAGTGAAGGTTCTTCTAGCCAGGACTATGCATCTAACAGGGTGGCAGCCATATACCCTGAGCTCACAAGAAGTGCATGGTGGCAAAAGCATTTGGTGATCTCTGAATGTGGGGGTTCTGTTTGTAGCTAACATGGCTGACTGCTGTTGACAGATTGACCATTTACAGCACTGGTTCTCAACCTGTGGGTCCCCAGATGTTGTTGGACTACAACTCCCATCATCCCTGAGCTCTGGCCTTGCTAGCTAGGGGTGATGGGAGTTGTAGTTCAACAACATCTGGGGACCCACAGGTTGAGAAAAGCTGATTTACAGCATGGGTAGGCAAACTAAGGCCCGGGGGCCGGATCTGACCCAACTGCCTTCTAAATCCGGCCCGCGTACGGTCCGAGAATCAGCGTGTTTTTACATGAGTAGAATGTGTCCTTTTATTTAAAATGCACCTCTGGGTTATTTGTGGGGCCTGCCTGGTGTTTTTACATGAGTAGAATGTGTGCTTTTATTTAAAATGCATCTCTGGGTTATTTGTGGGGCATAGGAATTTGTTCATTCCCCCCCCCTTCAAAATATAGTCCGGCCCCACACAAGGTCTGAGGGACAGTGGACCAGCCCCTGTTGAAAAAGTTTGCTGACCCCTGATTTACAGGGGTACAGAAGCAGGGGTGTGACCAGGGATGTTGGAGAGCCCTACAGATTTGTCTAAGACATATAGGAGCACAGGAAACGGACTTCTACTGAACCAGCCATTGGGCCATCCAGCTCAGTGGGGTCCACAAGAGTGGGGGGCTACCCTTCCCCAACTCTCAGGGTGGGGGCACATGTCAAAGTTGGTGTGGCCATCTTTTAAAAAGAAAAAGTTTACTTGGGGGGGGGTAACCCAAACCCTTTGGCATTGCAGAATCACAGTGGGGTAACTATGG